AAAGATCGTTTGCCAGTTAACAGATATATTCACACGGGTTGAGCTTTTAGATCATTTTTTTGGAAAATCTAGTGATTAGAACGGTATCAGACCAATTCCGGAAAGAAATTTTTTAAATCGGGCTGTGACATTTGAAATATGATTTGTTTACAAACCCGAGCCAGGATGAGCATGTGAATGGGCATCTCTGCTAGATTTGTCTACTCTAGAAACAAATTCCTATGAAGGAATTTATTTGTTTAACGAAAAATTAATTCCTTAGTAATTTCAAGTAATAATTCTAAGAAACAAAAAATATATATCCTGACTATAATCAGTTCGAAATAATAGTATATCTTTTATTCCTACAAATGAATTTAAACACAATTTCGATTAATTCTGCTTTTAAATGAAGAGGCTTGTTTTTTTATAATCATGTCATTTTTTTGATATATCGCACAACTAGTCAAAAAGCTATTCTGGGGGAGGGGGGGGAGGGGTTGTCTACATGGACTGGAGGGACAGGATTGCCTCCATACAACTTTCTAGTAGACTCCTAAAATAGTAAGGAGTAAAACATCTATATGTGTGGGGGGGGGGGGGTAAATCTGTGTGTTGCATTCAATTCTCCACGAAGACGATGGAGAGGAGCTATCTCTATAATATAAAGTGATGATGAATAAAATACTAATTTGATTTATAGATTTATATAACTCAAATACCCATTTTGTTCATTTTTTAAAAAGAAAGAATCATATGGTCAGATCGGTTCTCTCGAAACATAACTGTTTATAGTTTAAAAAAACCATTATAAAATGGAAGTTAAAAAAAGCGGTTAGGTCAGAAACTTTCCAAATATATTTTTCTATTTTTTTTGGAAAACTAAACAAAATTACTATCTAAAAAAAATAATGAAAACTTTGTATTTTAAAATTCTATAAGTGATTTCGATCAAGGAAAAAAAAATACAAAATAAAAGCAAATTTTGTTTTGGCTATAATGCGATATATATTTTTTATCAAAGAGATGTTTAGTTGAAACGTGCGTTTACAATTTGTCCCCATTTAAATAAAATTTTTTAAAAAAACCTAAATTTTTCGTGGACGTTATTAGTAACTTTACCATATCACAAAATATAAGTCAATATTTACCATAATAAAAATGGTAGATTGATTATATAAAACTATATTAATTAATAGATTACTACGATTACGACTACACGTATCAACGATTAAATTAAAATTTTGATATTGTTAAATAAACAAAGATTAAATTGTAATTTTTTTTAAAGGAATGAATTTAAAAAATTGGCAAATAATTTTGTATCGGTATATATTTTTAAACTTATTTATTTAAGCTTTTATTAATCGGCAACAAAAAACCAAGAAATTTAAATATTATGTTTTATTTTGGGTACTCTAAGACTGAACTGGAACGCAGTTTCATGATATTTAACTTATACATACTGGTAAAGGCACGAAAACCAATAGAACTAGGCTTTTGGCATTTATCATAAGATTTGATTTTTTAAATGTATATATATATACACCTTTTTAAATTAACGAGTCTAAAAGCGTTTCTATCCTTCGTCAGATCCTTATGGTAAATATCAGAAAAATTAAACAAATAATATATTTAACAAGTCTGTGTTAGATTTATTAATTTTCTAATCTGATATGGGACAAATTTCATAATTATTAATTAAATTCACCAGGAAAAAAAAGATAATTTTCTGGATAAAGATTAGAGAAATAAAAAATTATTCGATATACGATTTTATTCGAAATTTACGAATATGAATAACATAATCTTAAAAAATAGTAAATTTTGGTAAATATCCAAATTATTTGTAATTTTTTAAAAATATATCAAATATTTTATATTTTCAGGTATATTGTGAGAGTAGACTTTTGTCTAAAATTTCCAATATAAATTTTTAAAAAAATACATAAATTGTAAAATTATGCTATTAGAAGGAGATGAAATAATAGGAATTTTGTACATAATATGATTGTCTATTTTTTTATAGGCATAATATGATTACAAAAAATCGTACGTCTCTCAAAAAAAGAAACAAGTAGGAAAACTTTATGCCCGAAAGAATAGCTATTTAAAATTTATTCAAAAAGTTCTTTTTATTATAATTTGTATCTTACGTTACGATTATAAATTAAGCATAAAATGTTTGAATTTTTTTTGTTAAATAGTAAATAAAATATCCGTAAGAATTAGTCATTTTTTAAAAAAAATCGAATTCGTTATTCATATTTATGAATTGAATATAAATACATTTAAAGTCTAACTATGAAACTAAAGTTTTGTGCAGATTTGGTGGAAAAATTTTCCATATTTTTTTTGATTTACTTGCAAATTTGTTATAAAATGACTTTATTTGCAAATAATTTAAAAAAAATATGGAAATGTTTGCCAAGAAATGCACAACCCTGTACATGTGTACAACACTATGTAGTGTCATCTAGAAAATACATATTTTAATGTTATAAAAAAAGTTTTAAAGGTTAAAGCCATAAATAAAAATAACAGATAAAACAATATAGTTAGTTCTACTATAATTTATAATAATATATATGATGCTCTTCTTTTTTAAAAAAATGCTCTTTAAGTGTTTTTGTTTTGCTTTTTGCTTAATAAAAAAAATTTTGTTTATACTCTGATCCCAGGCGCGTACGCAGGAATTTGGTCTGGGGGGGGGGATAATAAATTTTTTTAAGAAATAATATTTTTAATTAAAAATACTAAGCATAAATTTATTAGGATTAATAACTTTTCTAATACACAATTTTAAACTAATGTGAATTAAAAAAATATATATATAAACCGGCATTTAAATGTGAATCATAAAATATAAAGTGAATATAACCCACGATATGAATCACTTAAATGACCCAAAATTGAAATTTGAATTATATATAAAATATATAAAGTATAAAAAATTTAAATGTTGTAAATATAAATTAATACACAAAAAGTTTCTTAGGAATAATTGTATTTTGTATGTTTTGAGCTAATTTTTCAATTATCAATCCTTGCTTGGCGTTAAATCTATGAATATTCAAAAGATCCAAATCATTCAATCTACTTTCAAATGTTGTATTTCATAGGTATGTTTTTCACAGACTTGAAGGCCAGGCCCACGAGCCGGACCGTATTTTAATTTTTTTAAATATACCCGGGCCGGGCTCGTAATTTTTTTTTTAAAAACACCCGGGCTGGGCCTGAAAATTTTTTAAGAAAAAATATCCGAGCCGAGTTGTATATTTTAAAACCAAATATTTGAAATCGCCATTATTAGCTATAAATATCAAAAATAAATATAATTTATTTTAAAAAATTCGGGCTGGGCCAGCCGGGCCAAGCCTGAAAATTTTTTAAAAAAAAACCCGGGCTGGAAAAAATTTTTAAAAAAAATCTGGGCCTGGTCCTGCAAATGGTACCTCTGCAAGGCTCTGTTATTCTTCCTAAAAAAGTGAATTTTCTCTCATTAGTTTACTAAAGAGCTGCTAATATATATATAACCATTTTAATAATTGGGAGTATAATCTAAAATGTGTTTGAAATAAAATGCATCCATAGCATTTTTTGGGACTGTATCAACCATAGTTAATCTTTTAATCATAGTTATTCAGCTAATAAGGCATCATAAGATATTTTAACATCTTCATGATAAAAATATAACAAATATTTATATTTTTTTCTATCACCATATGAAAAAGGTTGGGAGAGGGGACATTTGTTTTATAATACTCTTCTACTGATCCTATATTAATGTTTTGATGATGAGCTTGCTTGCTGCAAGTCGAGGGGGACAAATATTTAACACGTATAGCTCTGCTTTTGACTCAACAATAACATATAAAATATGAAATTCTTCAACAACACTAGCTCTATTTCCTTGAGTTCTAATAAAATGCTCTCCGCTATTCTCATCTTCTTAATCAAGTCAATGTTATGTTTTTGAAAAGTATTACATAAAATAGTTGTATAATTAAATAATACATTCTAATGAGAAAAAAAATTTGGAATAAGTATTGAATCCAATAATTTTCTTGCTTCTGAGGAAATATTTCTTTCAAGCCATTGTGATATTTCTGTAATAGCATTAATAATCAGCTCTTCTAACTCCAAAATAGCTGTTACTGTGGCGGAGACTCTATCTCATTGGACAAGCTTGCAATTTTTTTCTCCCTGTTGGACCAGGAGTTTCAGAGATAATTATTATTTTATTAGAAATTTAGATAAATATTACGCCACTAAAATTTGAAAATAATAGGTAAATTACACCAAGGAAAACTTGAAATCGAAATTGATTGATAAAATAACTTAGTAGATGAATGTGATAAATAAATGTAATTAAATATATATATATATATATATATATATATGTATATATGAGATAAGAATAAATATTAACAAATATAAATTAATATTAACAATAATATTTTTGAAAAATATAATCCGGCATCTGCATTTTTTGGCTTTGGAGGGGGGGGGGGGTGCTGCCCCCGCTGCGTACGCGCCTGTCTGATCCCAATTACCATTTAAACTATTTTTTACTAAAATTTCCTTCTTACACTAAGATAAAATTACTAAATTGTAAGTTTAAAATTTAATGAGAACTAAAAGGCTATAATTAGAAATCATCATAACTCAGGTAGGATGTTTTTTTTGGCTCATAATATTTTTGTCACACTTTGTCCTAAAATAATTTTATATATGTTGTCACCTAGCCTGTTAAATATTTTTGTATGTGTTATCTAGCACATAATATAATTTTTTATAAGGTATAATTTTCCCTAATTCTTAAGCATTAAAAAATTTGTGAAATGGATCAGCAGATAAGAATATTTCACAAAAGTTGTGGCCAAAAAAATATTTTACCCATTGTTCAAGCCCAAAAAAACCTTTTCAGGACCAGGACAAGCATATTAAAAATATGTTTAATAATTTTTTATGCTTGAATTAATTTAATTCTAATGAACCTTTAACTAAAAATTAGTTACTTCTTTATCATTATCTATAAATTGCTCCGGTAAACGTGGTCTATTGTGTAATTCAGTTAGGCTTGGTCTACCTTTAGTTTTAACCATGGAAAATATATTTTTATAGTGTTCCACATTGGGCAAGGTTTCATAAGTCATCATTTTTTTATAATAAGTACTTCCATTTTCAGTTTTATCATTACTTAAAGCTGTATTATTACTATTAATTCTTTCCTTTTCATTTTGACTTAATAGACCTTCCTTACTTTTAAGCTCTTCATCCTTTTTATTTGATTCTATCTTCACATGACGTTCATAATTATAAGGTTTTTGAAAACAACTTTTATTATTTGAGACTAATTTTGTTTCTAAATAAGGTTCTATTATATTTTCATCTTGATCTGCCATTATAATAGAAGATGATTGGCTATGAGATGAATGCACAGATGAATGATCATCAATTATGTCAGGAATTTCAATTGATCCTCCTAAATACATTTTTGTTTCATGTTGTTTTTTTTTGGTTGTCATGGGAAGATCATCTAATTGTGATGTATGAGGCATGTGATATATTGAAGTTTCTGTGGTATTAACACCAGTAGAAATTGGACAAGAAATTTTTTTTCTTTTAAAATTTTTTTTAGATAAGTTAAAAATTTCAGATTGTGATAGATATTTTGCATTTTCAATAGAGTGATCATTTAATACGCTATTGTTTTCAACCAAGGCGACTTTAAATCTAGATCCTGTTCTTGTAAGCTTATCTTGGGAATTATTTAGACTGTCTCTGTTAAGTAAGGAACAATCAATGTGTTTAATATTTGCCTCAGAAGCTGAATGATGCACATGATCCTTAGATGACATTAGGAAATTTATTTTTATAGATATAAACAATAAATAATAATTTTATTGGTATTATTTTGGTCATGAATTTAAACGAGATCTAAATTTATATATTTTGGTTTTTGGATTCATGTTTACACTTACGAAAAATGAGGAACATATGATCAGTTGTTTTATAAATTTGAAAGGCAAAGGTATTATAATTATGTTAACTTTCATAAAATAAGATTGACATAGATATTTCTAAAATTATATCGTATCATCCCTAGTAAATTTTTTTTATTTGTCAAAAAATTTCTATGTAAACATGCACATCCCTTTTTCGAAGAATAAATAAATTATTCCACAAACTCTCTCTTTATTTCAATAGTTGCTGATAAAAGGGGGGGGGGGTTGGATGGATATAATTTATAATTTAAAAATTTTTCTATGAGTTATTCAAGAATATCATAAATTTCGGTAATTTATGGGAACTAGCAATGGTGTCATTAGGGAGGGGGCGTAGGGGCTCGAGCCCCTTGAAAAATTTGAACAGCCCCTGGAGCAAAATTTTTTTAAATGGAATCTTAACCCCTTAAACTAAAAATAAATTTTTTGTTGCCCCCTGATCGATTTCTTTTATAATTCTATTAAGTAATATATAGATTTAATATTATTATTTAAAAATTAATAAGACTGGCTAAATATTTATTAAATAAATACTAATTACTATTTTAAATATTAGATTAATACTTATAAATTATATTTTCATTATATCAGCTTGCAATCAAATTTGTGTCAAAAATGGAATAGCAATATCACTCACTAAATATTAATTTAGCATTAACAGTTGAACTTAATTGACTATTATTATTTAAATTATTATATAACCCTAATTAAATAAATATAATTATTTATTAATTGAAAACTAAAAAATTTAATATTGTTTAGTATACTTCAAAATGACTAATCAACTGTATATTTATTTTTAAATTTTATTATCATACCTATTCCTAAAAATATTTTCAAGGTCCTAATATTGATAAAAAGTAAATTATTAGACATATAATTTAAAAATCCTCTATTTATATACAGTTGTTTATAAAATATTAGATAAAATGCCATTTTTATAGCGTATTTGACAGTTATATAATATGTTACAATTAATATTATAATGATTTATACTAATAAATGATTTTGATAATATATATAGTAACAATTTGCATGCAAGTATTTAACGCCATCTATTTAGTTATCAATAATTTTTAAAAATTAAACATTTTTATATTTATTCTATTCATCCTACAATAGATGTAATAAATTTTCTTAGGAAAGTTTTCTTTTTCTTTTTCGATATTTGTCACTTTTTTAGAAGAGCTTATACAAGTATTATTTTTATTTTAACAATGTTTTTCTTCAAATATATAATATTTGTCATAATTTTCTAAAACCAATAATATTTTAATTCATTTATTAATTTTTATCACTTTTTTCAGAAGAATTAGATCTGGGTACTAAAACAACTGGTCCTATGCAACCTATATTAGGTGCCTATCCATATATTGGAATGGGTAAAGATAAACGATGCTTTCAAACTCAGTGGTACAAATCCTTTCCCTGGATTGAATATAGCATAATCAGAAACTCTATTTTTTGTTTACCTTGTCGTAATTTTCCCACTCAACCTCAAAAAGGATACCTTTTTAATCAAGGTTATAAAAAATTTCGTAAGGTAAAAGAATACTTAACAACTCACGGAGCAACAAATGGTCATGCAACGAATGTAATTCTTTGGAACCATTTTAAACAATCTTTGATAGAAGGCTCTACAAAAATACGAATCGAATCGAATAATGGAATTATTCGTATTCGTTTAAATCGAATAATTTATTATTCGTATTCGTATGAATAATAAAATGATTATTCGATTCGATTCGAAAATTTTATTTACCATGAATTAAAAAAGATCTATTATAAAATTTATTTTGTAAAATTTAACTGAGGATAAAAACAAACAAATTTTATTAGTGAGACAAAATAGAAGCATACATATATAATATATTTATATACAATGTGGAAAAATCAATATAATATTCATATCTATAATGTAGAAGATAAATCTGACAACAGCCAATTTTTCAAACATAAAGTTTTTCGGATTGTTTCCTCCTTTAACGACATTCTGTATTTTGTAACCATATGAGCTCCAACAGAAAAGAGTCGCTCACATGGGTTTGAAGATCCCTGTATCGACAATATGTCCCTCGCCATTTTAGATAACACGGGAAAACGGTCTCCATGTAGTTTCCACCATTCTAGTGGGTTTTTATTTGATGTTATTCTCACTTCTTTCAAATATGTGTCAACAGAAATTGGCATAACATTCTGTTTAAAAATGACATCCATATTTGATTGTATTAAAGGTTTACTTTTGATACATCATATTTAATTTTATATTCATCAAACATTTTCTCAAAATTATTAAATATAGTTGTAACGTATGGTCTTTTTTCAAAATTATTAAATATAGTTGTAACGTATGGTCTATTATGAGATAAATTAAAATGGAGTTTCAAAATTTGGCGCAATTTTCATTATTCCACTAGGAGATTTTATTAAATTGAAATAATTTCAAATAATTCCTAATAATAATATATGATTTATATATGATTATTTTCCAATATATATTAATACTATAAATTATTTTAGTCGAATAATCTCGAATAATTCGATCGAATAATAGATAAAAAATTATTCGACGAATAATATATTTTCCTTATTCGAATTCGATTCGAATTTTCGAATCGAATAATTGTGTTATTCGTATTCGTAAAATATGAATCGAATCGAATATCGAATAACAAATAATTCGTTTTAGGTATAGAAGGCTCCATTAAAGAAAAATTTATAGCTCTAACTAAATCAACAATACTTGAAAGAAGAGAAAATTTGAAACGATTATTCAAAATTATAATACTATGTGGTAAGTTGGAACTTCCCTTAGAGGTCATTATGAAAGTAAGACAAGCAATAATCAAGGAAATTATTGTGAAATATTAAACTGTTTGAAAGAGTATGATCCATTTTTAATAGCATATAAACCACCAAGCAATGCTCATTATTGCTCCAAAATCAAATGCTATCTGCAGCTGGAAACTTAATCGTAAAGTACATAGCATCAGAAATAAGGGAGGCAGGCTATTTTTCTGTCATGGCTGATGACACTCGTGATGTTAGCTCATATGAGCAATTTAGTATATGTGTTAGATATGTTGATAAAACAAAAACACCAAAGGAATCTTTTATATCTTTTCAAAAAGTTGAAGACTTAGATGCAGAGTCATTAACGAAAACATTAATAACAACCTTAAACAACAATTCCATAAATGCAATTTGCGTTGCTCAAGCATATGATGGTGCAAGTGTTATGAAAGGGCATCTTTCAGGAGTCCAGGAAAGATATCGCCAAAATCACAAAATGGCTATATATGTGCACTGCTATGCGCATAAACTCAAACTTGTACTGATCTCTGCCTGCAAATCAGTACCTCAATCTAGAAAGTTTTTTAATGTATTAGAAGGTATTCATGCTTTTTTCTCAATATCTGTTATCCATCACAATAAATTTATTGATTTGCAATTAAGATTAGGGTTAAAATCCAAAAATATTGATGCCTTGAGTTCTACACGTTGGGGATCCCATATTAGAACTATAGAGGCAGTAAAAATGACTTTCCCTGCAATTATTTCTTATCTAGAAAATATAGACCATGGTGATGTGGTGAAAGCAAAGGGAATTTTATATATTCTTTTACAATATGATACAAATATGTATATGTTATATTCCAAAAATTATTATCTATGTGTTCCAATATTTCTATTTTTTTGCAAAAATCAGATTCGGACATATCAACAGCATTGGCTCTTATTGAGTCTCTTATTAGTTCTTTGTCAAATTTAAGAAATAATTCGTATTTTTCTTCATTATTTACCGAAGTAAATAAATTTTGCAATTTATATAATATAAAAATAACAAATAAAAGAGCAAATATACCTTCTACCATTTTGAATAATTATATTCAAATAGATGATATTGTTTCTTCTATTCTGATCAAACAGAAACCTTTTATAAGTGTCATGTCTTTTATCCAATTTTGGATATTATGATAAATGAATTAAAAAAGAGATTTTGCCAAGAAAACACAGATATTTTAATAGCTATAAATGCTTTACATCCCTCCTCCCCCCTTTTTTTAAATAATGATATCATTATTAAACCATTTATCTTACATTATAATCTTCCTGATCCAATGGAAGAATACATAATATTAAAGGCTTATATTTTAACCTATAATAAAAAACACGAATCTACGTGTAAATCAATAATAGATTTAATAAAAATCTTACCCATAGATATATTCCCTCGTATATTTAATTGCCTTAAAATTGCGTTAACTATACCTTTTAATTCCTGCTCATGTGAAAGATCGTTTTCAGCATTAAAACGGGTGAAAACATATCTTCGATCAACAATGGGTCAGGAACGATTAAATTCGTTGGCTCTATTGAGCATAGAAAAAAATATTATTAATACCATTCCTATAGATCACATTATAGATGAATATGCAATAATGACTAGCCGGCGTAGAGAACTTATTTTATAAATAATTTAACCTTATAATTTTTGAAACGCAATTTTAGGCGTTAGTATCTGCGAGTAAATATATCGTTTAATATTTATTTTATAAATTTTTTTTTCATATCCAAAATTAGCTAAAAGACATGGTGCTTATAAAAAAATTCTTTTTGAGATAGGAAAAAATCAGAAAAAATCAGAAAAAAACAGTAAATGCTTTCTTTTGATATGACCAAAGTTTCTGAAAAATTTAATTAAAAATATTTGAATACATTGACAATACAATAATATATAAGATCTTAATTGCTTTCATCATATCACTATGGTACTTATTTTCTAGCTCCCAAATTATTTATTTCTAATTTGGCACACTTAAATTGTAAATAACTCAAGGCTTCAATATATTTGCATAATTTCTTCCAAACATAATTTCTTCCAAGATTTTAGGTGTTTTTGCTTTATCAATATATCTAACATACTAGATTTTGATATGAGTTAACATCGTGTATGTCATGG